GTATAACGAATGCAACGCTTTAAAAAATCAACAGGTTTGCAAAGATGAAGATCCAGCTGTCAGCGCTGCAAAGATGAGAGACCCAGAGACGCCCCAACCGGCCTCCTGGCTTGATTCAACTCACCAAGACTGAGCAGAGGCTGGTTTCCCGGAAGCTGTCTGTCCGAAAGCTGCCTTGCCTGCTGTCCCGGCACAAACTATCACCTCGCAGGCTTTCCCGGCACAAACTGTCCCCACGGAAACTCCCTTGCCGGCTCTCTGACCTCAGGGGAAGGTTTTCTTCGGTCTGAAGAGCATAGAAAGATAATGCCGAGAGGTCAATCCCGGTGCTTTTTCCCGGCGCGGTCAGGCTGACCTCTGAGTTGGTCATCGTCTCTCAGCCTCATCTACCTCCCAGGGCTGCTGCGAGGAGGCTATGAGGAGAACCATGGAGCTGCTATGAAGTCTGTCCCCATAGTAATAAGTAATGCAGACTTCAACCATTGGTCTTCTAGCCTTGCATGGGCTTCCTATCACCGAAAGACAAATGGGTCTCTCTCTCTCTCTCTCTCTCTCTCCCCCCAAGAACAAGAGATGCTCCCCATGTCTGAACTCTGCATACAAAGTCATGCCCTTACTTCTTGAGTCTGTCTACTCCAAGAGGACATGTTTCTCCAGAACCTCTCTCAACCACGAGAGATGCTTATGGGTGGGATCTCCGGTGTGACAGGACGGAACAGGTAAACACTGTCTGCCATCCTGACACGTCTCTCCCAGACATATACAGGCCCACCTCAGAGACATTCTGGGCTTGGTTCCAGACCACCACAATAAAGCGAATATCACAACAAAGCAATGTTTTGGTTTCCCAGTCATGTTTACACTATACTGTAGTCTATTAAGTGTGCAACAGCATTATGTCTAAAAAAATGTACATACCTTAATTTAAAACATTATTAAAATAAGACAACAATGAAGTTTGCCACATCAATTCATGAAAGGTTTCTCCGTAGCATGCAATGCTGTTTGATAAACGCAGTATTTGCAAAGCGGAATAAAGCGAGGTGCAATAAAACAAGGTGTGCCTGTAGAATGTGTTGATAACCTGAGACTAGGAAATTGCTGGAAGAAAACGGATAAGGTTTTTCTCATACGCAGTCTTTCATAAGTGGGAAGAAGAAGCTCAAACAGGCTAAAGACAGGCCAGAAGAGAGTTATGGTTGGAAAAGGAGATGACTGATAATCAAGTTGATTTAGCTGATTTCAGACTAAAAGGTACAGAAGTTCCTGAGTGATGGAAGATCACTGAAAAAGTCACTATGCATGGAGGAGGAAACAAAGCTTTGAAGGATCATATCTACATGATGCAGAATCCTCAAGGGAAAGGAGGAACTGAAGACTACAGAGGAAGATCATCGTTCTCCTAGTCACATGATATTGCAAGCTAAATCTAGCAAAAGTCCTTGATTAACTCTATGGGGAATTTAGTAATAGTTATACAGGACACATAACAATAGCCACCCAATGACAGTAGCAGAAGTGTTATTTCTGCAAACAGGGAGATAGTTAATCTCAGCCTGGTACAGCAAATTAGGTCAAAAATCAATTTGCCACATTCCACTCCCTTTTGAGTGGGGATGAGGGCATGAGTCACCGTAGAGGATTCTCTCATTCCAAATAAGGATGCATCTGGCATACCAGCCAAAGCTGAGTGAAGACCCCTGGCCATGCCCTCCATCTGGCTTTCCAGCTGTAGCCAAGAATCCAGGAACACCCTCCCCACCCCCCAAGTTACAAACATGTTCCTTCAGAAGCAGTATCATCCCATCAACAGACATAACTGGAGATGTCAGGGATCCACAATGAACTAATAGGGACTCCATCTTGTCAAGCTTCTGTTCAGCCTATTCCTTCCCATCCAGACCTTCACAGACTCCAGACGCTGGATTAAGACATTGGCAACTTCACCTAAGTGGCCTGATCCAAATGGGTATCATCAGCATCTTGGTCATACCCCCAAACTAGTAGATGACCTCTCTCAGCAGTTTCATGTAGATGTTAAAGAATAGGGAAAGGGGACCAAGCCCTGAGACATCCCACAACCAAGGAACTACTTGGACAACCCCTCATCCACCACAACCACTGACTGGATTTGCTCACTGAGGAAGGGGCAAAACTACTGCAATACAATGCCTTCAACTCCAACCCCTGCAAGTAGTCCAGAGGGATACCACTGGTAATAGTACTGAAGGCCACTGAGAGGTACAACTGGGCCAGGAAGAGTTCACTCCCCCATCATACAATGCTGTTTTAGTTCCACATCCAGGCCTAAACCCTGACTAGAAATGGTCCAGAAAATCCTCTCCCTCTTGGGTTCTTTGTAGTTGAACCCCAACCACAGTCTCAATCATCTTCTTGCCAAAGGGGCAATAGTTATCAAGAAGACCTGTTGAGGCAGGGGGGTTCCGTGACCTTCACTATCACTGAGATCATCCTCTCATCCAATGTCACAGACTGCGAGAATCACCTTGAGGAACAGGAGGAAGAGCCACAACCAAGACCACGGTCAGATAAGTGAAATCTGAATCCCAAGAAGAAATGTAATTTGAGAAAATGCCTCAGACTGGACCCTCCCTAGTTCTCTTGTAGATAAAGACAGGGAGGAGGGAGGCGCTTTGAGACTTGCACAATTCTGTTACTATTATAACCTGCTATAATAAAAGTAGTTTATACCTCTGGTGTACTTCAAAGGGCCGACAACAGTCTTACAAGTCTCAAAGCGCCTCCCCGCTCTTGGCCAGACAGAGCAGGAAGACCACCGGGGCATGTACAGTCTCCCCCAGATCTTCTGCTGCCTGAGCTGTACAGAATCAGTCAGTCCAACCTGCAGCCTTCTGGATGTGCTGTTCTTCGTGCCCATCCTCCAAGCCTTAGTTCAGGATTATGGGAGTGAAGGCTAAGATATTTGAAGGGCAATGAGTTAAGGAAAGGCTGGGTTGGCTGCTGCTGAACATTGCATCTTCACAGTCCCAGGGGGAGAACGTGATTGATTTGGGTTCAGCCAAGTTTATAGGACATCAGAATGCTCTGGGCAACATACCGATGAAGGCAAAGAGAAAAAAAAGTTTAAAGTATAACACGCCTCCGTAAAAACAGCATCGTGACCAGGTAGCATAAAACATACACATTCTTGTCGTAGAGATGCCGAGGAGAACGCATCTCTGAGCTCCAAGCATCCTCGGAAGCCGAAAAGCACAGGCTAAGCCCTGGAACTCAAGACTCTCCAAAAATGGCCCTCAAAAAGTGAAATGTGTTAGGACAGAGGAGAAATTTATGTCACATATGGAAAGTAGTCATATTGCGTATGCTTAACTTAATAAAATTAAATTTCTGTTTCAGTAAAAGCTGGGGCCAGGGTGCAAGGTGATCCCAACCCGATCTTTCTCAACCTTGGCAACTTTAAGATGGGTGGACTTCAACTCCCAGAAAAGGTGATCCCAACCCGATCTTTCTCAACCTTGGCAACTTTAAGATGGGTGGACTTCAACTCCCAGAAAAGGTGATCCCAACCCGATCTTTCTCAACCTTGGCAACTTTAAGATGGGTGGACTTCAACTCCCAGAATTCCCCAGCCAGTTGAAAAACACTGTCCCAACCTGTGCAGTATGAATAAACATGATTTTAGTTGGCTCCAGCACGTTGTATATTGTGTTGCTGGTTTCTTTGTTGGTTTTGAGCACATTGCTAGCCACCCAGAGTGGTGAGAACAAGATGGGTGGCCATTCACACTGTCAAAATAAAGAGAACCTAATTTTTGTCCTGGCTTGTCCTTTCTCTGGAGTGTCTCCCTAACCAGCCCTCAGGGCTTGAGAAGAGCCCTCAGGTCAAACCAGTCCTGCATTACATGAGCATCCTAAGGCTTCAGAAGCATCAGGGAAGTTTAGATACACAAGGCTTGGGAACCATGGCTTCCCCATCTTCGACTCCCCAAGTCAGAGACTTGGGCTGAGCCTTTCAAGTGAGAACAGAGCCTCGCACTGTCCTAATTTTTGTACGCTCTCACTCCTGTCCCATCTCCTGGAGTTTGCACGCTCTTTGGTACCGTTTTAGCTGGATTTGGGATGTTCTCCCACAAGAAATTAGCTGTAAATGCTTTCTAGGTCTCTGTGCAAGTTTTTCCCCCTTGCTCCCTCTAGGGAGTGCTGGAGTTCTTCCGTGGCTCAGCCTGGGAAAAGGAGGACCACAGGTGGAAATAAAAAATCAAGAAAGCCACCTTTGTAGATTGGTCAAAGAGCTATTAGCTATAGCTGAACGGCCCCTCCGTGTCCAGAGGTGGCATTCCACTGGTGTGGCTACCAGACCACTGCTACCATCACGACGCCCTGCCAGTTGGTTCCATCCCCATGGAAGCCCAACTGGATGACCAGTCCTGAAATCTACTCAAGAGGCCACCCACTCCAACCAGCTTTCCTCCACCACTCACAACCCAATCTTCCACATTTTTCACCCTTGCACTTCTCAGCCACCACCACGCCTCACAGTTTTCACCTGGTTCCGGGTCTCAGTGCTGTGGCTTGAATGCAGGCGCCGGATCGAATTTTCCCGGGTCAAAGTCAGTTCTTCCTCGCTGCCGGAGACAAAGAGAGGGAGAATGGAGGGTGTGAGCTTGGTGACTGTGCCCCTCAGCCCAGCGTTAGCTGAGTTTCATGATTCTGCCTCCAGAAGGACTAAGCTTGCCTCATCAATCTGTAGGACCTCAACTTCCAGAAATCCTGGTCAGCTTGCTGAGAATTTGGGGAGTGGAAATCCAACAGGTCTGGAATGTGTGAGGCTTATGATTAGAACTAAGCCTAGGGAGGCCAGCATTGACTTGCGCTATTCCTCTGGCCATATCAGTCTGCGCTTCTAAAACTCTGCCCCTTCCCTGTGTTGCTTTGCACCACCCTTGACCTCCTGCACTACCCAAAGTCCTTCTTCATCCCTCTGAGTGTTTCCGACTCAAGGGTGATGACAGAAGGATCTGAAAGTCAGGCAGACCAGGTCCCATCTAAGCTTACGGAAGACAAGTTCATGAGTGGCAATCAGCGTGAGCATCAAGGCAACCTTTCCTTACTATTTCTCAGTGATGCGCTTGGTTTTCCGCTTGTGGTAGCAAGTCATGAGGACGATCACCAGGACCAATAAGCTGAGCAAGATGACAGAAATGATGCCCACCCCGATCATGGAGATGGAGACCACGTCCACCTGCTGAGCTGGGAGCCCTGTTGGCGAGACATACACAGAGAGGCGGGGGGGGTCACAGCACGTCATGTCAAGCTCAGAATGAACCAGTAAGGTTTCAGCTACATGTCTGTTTTGGAGTGCAGGGGTTACAGGCCTTTACATTTTTCTAAGGTTTGCTTTAATAAAAATATTCCCCAACCTAGATGTGGCACATAAGTGAGGGTGGCATTTACTTTTTAAAAATACATGGAACTTTTTATACCCTTGCAAAGCCCAGCATTTCTACAGAAGCAGCGGAGTCTTTCAGACTAAAGGCTCTTTCCCTGCTATGGCACTTCCCAGACTGACCATGTGACCATCCAATGCTACATGGTCAGTTCAAGAAGCTCCAATGAGGAGAAAAGGCCTCTAGTCTGCAAAGACCCCCCATGCTTCCAAAAACATGTTAGGCTTTTAAAAATATAAAGGGATGAAGAAATTCTGGAATCACCGCATACTTATTAGAAAGTCAAGGGCAACCCCCGTCTACCTCCACGGTTACTTTTCTTTCTCAAGAAGGATAAACGCTATTAGGACTTTGCTCCAGCCAGCGTTCTTCCACCTAGGAACCCATGGCAGTAAAACCTCCCAATTCTTTCCCAGCAAGGGAATAATAATTATTACATCCTCAGTGGATCAGGTTGGAGGAAGCTGAACTGATCTATGTCTGAAACTTTTAAAAAAATAAGCTAGACCTCCAAAACACAAGCGGTGGGATAGCTGGTGAATGAACTGGCATCAACTAGCAGGCCAGGGAGAGAGGTGAGTTCAAGCATGGAAGGAAGAATGATGAAGGGGGACCAGCTGTACCTATACCTCTTTCAAACATTCTCCATCCAGTTGTTACTGGGATAATGCAGACAGGAATTGTTCCCATTCATACCTGTTTCTCTCAGAAATGAAAACTGTGCAAGGTAGGAAGGACTTTGCACTATTCCAGACTTTGCCATCTTCAGCTTACCTTTGATGCTCAAAGTAGCCTTCACTTCCTTGACTGCGAAGCTGTTGGCCACTTGGCAAACGTAGACACCATCATCTTCAAGGCTGAGGGGTCTCTGGAAGAGCAAGGTGTCCCCTTTGACCTTCACTCCCCTGGGAAGAGGCTCACTGAGCCTGTGCAGAGAGCAGAGAAGGTCAGGAAGAAAAAGGAAACAAAACATGAGACTTGCTGACCCTTAACGGACTTGCTAGACCTTCCCACTGCAGCTATGTCAGGCCCTGTAACTCAGCTGCCCAACTCCAGCTCTGTAGCTCTGGCTTAATCAAAGAAAGCACTCCAGGAAATGGAGTTGGAGTTGGAAGGGGCTGTGGTGTATCTCAGGCCCCGCTACGGCTTTGGAAGCGCCGAGAAACCAAAGTTGCAGGCCCCTCCAGATGCAGAATTGCAATATGAAACCAAGCTTTGAAAATGCAAAAGAGCCCTGGGAGATGAACCCCAAAGAGAAGCTGGAACATCTCCTAGCTTCTAGTTTGCGTGGCTGGCTGGCAAATTCTGGGAGTTGAAGTCCACTCATCCTGACGTTCCCAAGGTTGAGACACACTGGCTTGCAGTATAAGACCTCTTGTCATCTCAGGATGTTGCACATAGCATTACCACTTGAGGGCTCCAGCCGCAAGGGACTGGTGACCTTGGCTCACATCCTGGATCTGGTCTCCAACAATTCCATAGGATGGCCTCAGGATGAGGAAGACTGCAATTCTCAGTTCCTCAGACAGTACAACCCTCAACCAGCATGCAAACGAGAAGCTAGGAGGTTCAGGTGCTTCTGGCCAGCATCCCCCTGGAGAAGATGCACAGGATTTCTTGACTTCTACTGCTGATAAATCACCCTCCTATCTATGGGGCTTGTGGGATGGCCTAGTCAGGGTGAAGTATTCACACTCAGACTTCAAGATTTGGCATGCACACCCTTTCATACGTGTCCCAGGATAATGCTTTTTTAGCGCACATTGAATAGGCAGCAACTTGCACAGCTCATTGTTGATAGTTTCTTCCCCCTACCCTTTATCTGAAATAGCTTTCAGTACAATAGATGGGCAGAAACACCTTGAGAACCACCAGATGAAGCGCATCGAAATGGGCACTAAACACAAAAGTCGTTCTGCTCTGGTCAGAGCCAGCGCAAGGCGGGGTCCGACTGCTTCAAGGGTTCAGAGAAATGTTGACGGCAGCAAAGATCTTCGGGGGACTGGAAACTAAGCCTAATTAAAAAAAACTGAAGGAGGTACATGATCTGACTTCAGCTTTCCTTTGCTTTACAGACCTGCAAAGGTCATAAATATGAGGATTGGTCATAAAGTGACTTTTTCATCACTGTCATAATTGCGAACGGTTGCTAAATGAGGCAGATGCTAAACAAGGACTACCTGTATTACAATAAGTAATACAGTCTTGAGAAAAAATGGTGGGGGGAAAGATATGACAGAACCCTTCAAATGCTTGAATGGATGTCACGAGAGAGAAAGAGGAGATTCCAGCAGGATGGCAGACTCTGATTGAATATTTATTGTAATACAGGTAGTCCTTGTTTAGCATCTGCCTCATTTAGCAACCGTTTGCAATTATGACGGTGATGAAAAAGTCACTTTATGACCAATCCTCATATTTATGACCTTTGCAGGTCTGTAATGCAAAGGAAAGCTGAAGTCAGATCATAAGCACAGTCGTGCTTTCACTTCACAGTGGCCAGTCCCCATTGTGGTCACTAAACGAGGATGATCTGTATTGATTTTTGGCTGTAAGCCAGTTATAGTTTGAATGATGAAAGTGGTATGAAAGAATTTGAAGGAAGGAAGGAAGAAAGTAAATTAGAGGTTAGCGAAACCTTAGGAAAGATATGTTCTACTGTTCTGCAGTGGCACAGAGGGGTGGTGGGCTCAAGTGGCAGCTGAGCGCCTCCACCTGTTGGCCCTGCAAGGTAGGCGAGGTCAAAAAACAGGCACAGCAGGGACTGTAGTAAGGTTTATTGTAGTGATGGGATCTTGAAAGTTTCTCTCTGTCCCATCTTACGCTAAAGAAAATCAAGGCAGGGATAGTTTCTTTCTCATGCTTCCCTCTATCTCACTGGGTAATTTTCTTCTGCAAGACCCCCTTAGCGGCTTCCTCAGTCCTTCCTTATCCCCAAAGTCAGCTCCACATTCCTTCCCAGTTGGGCGTGTTTTAATTTGGACTCCTGCACAGAGAGGAGGTGGGGCTCAGTGATCTAACTCAGTGTTTGTCAACCTCGGCAACTTTAAGACAGGTGGACTTCAACTCCCAGAACTCCCCAGCCAGCCATGCTGGCTGGGGAATTCT